ARKKKTWRGRWTTTTTGCACTTCTTCAAAAAGAAAAAAAAAACAAYCAATAAATCTATTTTTYCGCTCAATGCCMAATAGYAAAACAATTTCACTTATTTTCAATCAAAAATTGAAATAWAGYTATKAAATGGAACAAAATCGAAATCAAAATTCCCTTGATGGTGACGTATCTGTATAATCCCCCTCTCCAAGTCTTAACATCGATAGTGTGGATAGCACCTGGCTATTGKTTTAATTCGATAAAAGAAGGTTTTTATGAAGAATCAAGTTGCGAATGAAGGGAAAGGGAGGAAAATAATAGTAATTGATTGATTCATTATGTGTAAAGGCAACATAAGTCTTACCAGAACAAATGGCCAAGRAARCAATRGCAATGACCACGATAGCCTTCATACTTGATTTGTTCTGTTACGTTAARTGGATACAGYCGACTAGCGAGACTTGCAGTGACTCCTTAYACCGTACATCAGTCTTATATAACCAGAGAAAACCATATTATAAATTGTATCATCTGTAAACGGCTTGCAAGAGCTTGCAGCAAAACCAAAACCAACAATATTAACTTCCAAACCCCTGTCTGTCAATTTGCAGTGTGCATTACTATACAAAAGAAAAAAAAAAAAACACGCCGGGCATATTGTTTAAACACGAAATGGAAAATAAAAAAAAAGACATATGGCATTAACGTGATACTTTTAATTTCAATAGGTCTTTTCCACAATAGCCGCTTTTTTTTTTTTTTTTTTTTTTTCTCAAAATTAACAAAAATATGGTTAAGGCAAGTATTTTGAAAGTATATCTGATCTTGCATTTTTTTTATGTGTTGGTGGAAAAGTAAAGCTCTGAAAAATACAATTAAATATTAAGAGGCTATTGAACTAGACGATTTTGATGCAATTTTTGTTTTTAGCTATTTTTAATGGAATCTCGAGTGCATCATGTTTGCAATTTTTTTTTTCTTTTTACGCCAACCGAGGAATTAATGGATCGAGCAAAAGTAAACTTGATAGACGAGGATTTTGAGCCGCAAAGCACCTAAAAACTTCTCTTGTTTTCATCTTCTTTCATCTATCTTGTCATCTAATGTGAACTTGAAAACTAAAAGAAAATATTTAAAACAAAGCATCCACGCGGCTCCAAAAACTCGTTGTAGACATCGCGCTTTCTAATTCAAAGTCTAACACTCGACATTGGCAATGGAGATTGGCTTCAGAATAGGTTAAAAATTGCTTTTATAGAAGCGTTATCCAGTATTGCAAACTGATGGTCTTTTTGTCTTGAAAAGAACGCGTCATGCACTAGCAAAATGGACCATAAATACATGGAAATGATAACAGTATTTCTTAATGTATTTCAAAATGGGGTAAATTTTTGATAATGCAGCCCTTCATCCAACCTTTGAATCCGCAATGACATCAAATTCATGTTATATATAATGGTTAACCGAAAAAAAAAATAGCGAGACTCTCGCTCTCTCTCTCTCTTATGAAATTTGATTCCCTTAGCAGAAGGGTTAAGGATCGTGCGTTCTTTCACTATAATTTGTATCTATGTAGTAAGTTTTATTCTGTTTTTTTTTKKTYYTTTTTTTTCAACAAAAGGACCAATTTAAAAAATCAAAGGGAAAAATTAGTAAGTAATGACTTGATATCATGTTCTCTTGAAATAAATGAGAGAGGAGACTCTTCAATGATTTATTATTTCCAAGAATAGGCGGCAATGAAGCGAATCAAGAAAACAAGTTAATAAGCTAGAGGCAAGCCATAAATCATGTTATTATATAATTACTTATGAAATACCTATATTTCTCCCTTAAAGCACTTGTGCTGTGAAACATGATCAAAATAAGCAGTAACTATAATTTTTACCAAACGTCGCGATCGATTTGAGAGATTTTGCGTATGATGATCTTTTCACATCATTTCTTGAATATTTTTATCATTGCAGCGAAAATTTAGCATTTCAGATGGCATTCGCATTATCCTCAGAGAACTATGTAAGAACTGGATGCTRGTATGAGCAGTTCGAAGAAATTACTATCTAAAACCAGTTCATTTCAGTTCAAAAGTATCTTAAAAAAGAACAATTAACTGAARAACACTGTACCTTACCGGCGGGAAGTCTTGTTGAAATCAGAAGGTTTACAATGCCTCGTGAACTTTTATTTTGAAAAAAAAAACAGGATATTTATTGTTTAGATTTGCTCCAGGAACAAACCTTTTCTATAATTCAGTCATAGTTCACGTTGTAAACTCCTAAAGCAACTGTCCTCTGCTGTCACGCAACGCTATCCGTGTGGAGTGCGTAATTAACTTATAAATTTTATCAGATGTAAACATAGAGCGAACTCGATCAGTTTAATAAATTTACCGATTAAATAGTGGCACGGTGAAAGTAATACGAAGTTAGTGCATGTCTATGTACGTTATGTAAGCGTAAATATGATTTTAAGTCTTTAAAAAATAGGATTTCAGTGATAATACAAAATACGGATTCTATCGCCGTGATGAATTACGAAACAGAAAGTTCATTCTCGATATGTGATTGGCTAATCCTGAATATGAGGAATCTGATTCGCTGAACTCTAAGATGATTGACAGAGGAGAAACAAAATTATGGGTTTGCAAACTGATCTTAGTAGCGTTTCGGCCTGAGGGGCCGAAACAAAAAATCAGATGACTATAACTATGATATATTTAAAAAGAAATAAATAAAGAAAACGAGACGAGATTCGACCCCGCCAAGTCACAGTATAGTATTTTCAAGGGACCCAGCATCCCAGGTTCGATCCTCGATGACTCGAGCACTTCTGAGAAATTCTACCCTCTTTCTTTCTTTCTTTCTTTCTTTCTTTTTTTTAACTGAAATATAGTTTTGTCATTTTTTTCGTAGCATTTTGTTGTATAAATATTTCCCAGCCGTTTGTTAAATTTTAGAAACAAGATGATACTCAAACTTAGGATTGATATTTTTTTTTCTGTAGATATAATTTTTTTAGCCGTTATTATGATTTTACATTGAGAATATATGGTACTCGAATAGCGTCGACCTTAGGATCTCGTCCTCCTTACGCACAATGTACGTGAATTTGAATTTCGTTCCAAGCACGAGACCTTCTGTTAAGGGGAATTTCCATAAGCCTGTAGTARGAGAGAAAGTCTCCATCTGTTGAATGGACATTTCTTTTTTTATCGGCTAACCAATAAATCAACATGTGTTTTTATGTCAACAATACCCTGCCATTCATCATGATATGATTACTAGGTGTAGGTCATGGCGGATTCTGATTTGAACTGATAAATTTACCCTCTCCATGAAACTATCTGCTAATTAAAAAAACGCAACATCAGTACTTGCCCATGAACCAGTTAAAACTAATGATAGACTGGCTGACTGACTTTGATAAGTACGCTTGTTCAAAATTGAAAAAAAAATATAAAATTGTACCTCTGCAGGATAATCAGCTTGTTAATTGGGCCCTACAAAAAAATACATCATATAGCGGCTATATAGAGTCAACGCACCGTTAAAAAACATAATCAAAGAATTAGTAACTATTATTTTTTATTCACTTAATAATTAGATGGAATAGTTGATATCGGTGAACCAGAACAATTTATGAAAAAAAAAGTTGATAAACAACTGAGAAACTTGGAAGCTACATATCGTTATTAAAAGCTACCTTCAAGTACTTTCAAAGTCCAATGCTATAAAGTTTATGGACTGCATAAGTAAACGAAGAGATGTAGCTAGAGAACTTGACAAGAATGTGCGTGCATTAAACCGAAACTCGGGGTCATATAAAACTAACGTTTCAGTTTTAGCTTTACATTTCAAAAAGTTATTCGACAATTTAATGAAGTCAGTTTTCAAGCTCGTTGATTATGCTAAAAAACGTTGCTACTTGACTCATTCTTCCAATGAAAGTCGTGAGTTCCCTTCTACTCAATTGGAMCTTTTGCTATCAAGAGGTGGGTGTGCAGCCTTTGCTACGGCCCCGAAACATGATTTGATATTTTGTTCTTTTGACATATATGAGTGAGAGGAGTCTCTTCAATGATTTATTATTTCCAAGCAACATGGAGGCAAAAAGACGAATTAATAAGGAACAGCGTAAGTTTACACCTTTTACATCTATATTTGCGCGCGGGTTATATGATATCCTCCATTTTAGGATGTTAAAACCTCCCGTCTGTTTTTTTTTATTTTTTTTTTATTTTTTTCTCCATGCAGAGCTGCAACTGCATTGCAATACGTTCTCAGATTTTGTTACTGTAATATATATCTAATGCTTTCAAGATACTGGAGAAAAAGGGCTACTGCATCTTCAATTCTGATTTTCGCAGCAAGTGAGACTTGAAGATATCAAATTTTTGTAATAGAAAAGTTTYATAATTGCACAACTGAATGAAAGCCACAAATTTGCCACAGTTTTTGGTTTCCTTTATCTTTTTTTTTTTTCATAATATCAAATATCATTTGACATCTCTCGATAATTTGTATATAAGGCAAATAGTCTTAGAGAGAGAGTACATTTAGGTCCTGCTTACAACAGGTTGGAAACGAAACCGTGCAAAAACATGAAGCTACTGGCCCTTGCTCTTGTTGTGACCTTCACGATTTCTTGCAGTGGTAGGTAAATCCTTATGTTTTTGTTAGCTATTGCTCAACACGCTAAATTTGATATTAGCAGAGGTGACAAAAAGAAAGAAAGACAGCTGTAATTTTCAAATTTAATTGGTCAAAAACGGCTTCTTGTGAAGTAGCAGTTATGTAAAAAGATAAATTTAACACCGTAAAAAAGTATGTGGAAAAACTTACTGACGTTTCGGATGTTAATCCTTCGACTTTAGAAACACCGACGCAGCTCACACTAGTTTACCGCTAGTTCCCACCATTTTACTCTTGTGAAGTAGAGTCCTTTTAGTCAAACTGTGAAATAGTTAGTTAAATAGATATTATAGTAACTATTTATAGGTGAATGACGTCACAAAAAAGGGGTGAATCATAGAAAACTACATTAAAAAGTTTTTAGTAWTTTTAGATGGAGAGGGSYGAASWGTTTATGTCTTCCWCAGCTCTAGAWGGCRCTATTTYTGAATTTTATCGATTAGTATAGTAAACTAAAAGTTAAAATGTACGTAAAATGTCCAAGTAGAGAGAAAGAATTAACATGAAATACCACACCTCGGGACGACTACGTTTATTGAACTCCTTCAACACGAAATGGTATGAACAACATTGCTTAAGCATAGGCTTGCTTACTAGCTTCAGAAAGAACAGATCGTATTATTTTCACCAATAAAGACTTTTAGCTTGGAGAACAAATTTAAAACAATGTATTTCAAGAAAATAAAATTAACTTTGCCGGTTTGTTTACAGCCCCGGAAAAAAGCTACCTAAATACAGCTCCCCCTGATTTTGTCGACGGTTGCTTTTGCGCGCTTTTACTAATTTACGTGACGTCACCTGAATAYTGAGTTACCTAGTTAACTAACTATTTTACGGTTTGGCTAAAAACAAGCACGTTAAAAAAATTCGATTGATATTATATATTCCATATACAGTGTTTAATTTATTTCTTGTTCTTCCACTAAAAAAAACTGTTTGATGTTTTTGAGTGTTTTAATGTCTCTAGAGAAGTTATTTATTGTTTGGTTATCTTTTAAGGGGATTCCTTCTACAACGAGATATTGCAACGCCGCAACGCAGTAGAACGTAAGTATTCTAAGTAATGATTTATTTAATAAACAACAACAATAATTCTTTTTACATTTGTTTAAATAAATGCAARAAGTATTACTACCCCCAATTAGTTTTTTAAAACTATTATTGGCGYGTGCAATAAAAAACAGTTGATCAGAATTTAATTGAAAAATACTGTCAATATAAATTACTTTATTCATTTACTAACTAATGATATATAGATTAATCGTGGGCTAAAATACGAACTCAAAAAAGCTATAAAGTGACCAAAATGTATGAAAATTATTAAAAATGCAAGTTGACTTTTCTTCGTCGTGAATATTACGCTTCAAATTGGTAGCGCCTGCGTTGCAGATGGTCTGCAGTCTCAGTTTCCATGGGGTTGTC